TTTTTAACATTTAAATATGAAGAGTACTAGTGATGATAGTATCACCATTGAAACAAATATTATATTTAATTCATATTATATTCAAACATTAGAAGAATGTTAGATGAGTGATTATGTCATTTGATTTCAAACCAAGAGGTGGTGGTATCGGTTCATCTCCAAGATATCATTTAGGCTTTGATTTTGCCACCCTTATAAGAGCATCCTACGTTGCCTTTTAAGATAAAACTTTCATCACTCTCACCTTTTATATAAGAGAGTTAAGTCTACGGCTTTTAACCCATATTGTTTTTGAGGAATCTCACATTGTTGGGGATGAAAAATCTTGAGCTTCTCATCTCTATGTAAAGTTTCTCAAGAATTGATTAGCACTCCTCATCCAAGTCAAAGAACTCGCTGGGTTACCTGATTTTTAGAAAAAAAGGAAAAACAAAAACAAAAAAAATCCCGACAAAAAACCGTAAAAAAACCGCAAAAACCGAACCGCATAAAAACCGAACGGTGCGGTTTCTAAACTTCAAAAAACCGAAGTTGCGGTTTTCGGTTCGGTTTTGGCCAAAAAACGCACCAAACCGCATCATGCTCACCCCTATTAACCCTTAAAAAAATATAAAGTGTAATTAATATTAATATTATTTAATAAAGTTTACTCAAATATTATAAAACCTAACTTTTATCCTTCTCAAAACATTGCATCTATACGTACACACTCGTAGTGATCGTGGCTGGTTTTCGGTCCGTTTTCTGCTACAACGTATCATCACTTCACCATTTACAAACTTTGCGGCGTGTAAGAAAGCAACAGAAAGGGATTGTCGATCGTTGCTTAGAGACATCGATCCCGAATTCTCCTTCTCCACGCACCACTACACAGGCTTCATTCATTTCTCTCGGATGCCGTCTTAATCCTAATCGTATAAGGTAATTTCTTCTCTATTTTAGTTATTAGCCATGCTTTTAGGCTTCATTTTTTTATTATCGCCTACCCTTTTTCATTTTATGTAATTCGTTGTGATTTTTTTTCCAGTGCCCTAATTGCATCAGTCAATTCAATTCTATATCGTTTCGGGTTTTTTTTGGTTTATTGTATTTGCCAGTTACAAATTTTCTGTATATTCATCGATAATTCGTGTTATATATGCCACGAAACAATGGAAATTCTCTTTATAACCCTAGATCTTATGTTTTTTTTTTAAATATCTGTGATGATTAACTGTTAGTTGCTCAGGAATCAAGGGCGAATTTCTCAGTTTGATAATGGTGCTCAAGTCGCAAGACCTTTTATCTGATGCGACTGTGATAAGAACTCCAAATCAGAATGGTAGCTGTTCCTCGAATGGGGCTTCTGTTCTTCCCCTCAAATGGAAGCCTCGCAGTGTATCTGCTGTTAGGGATTTTCCGCGAGGGTGTGGATCTATTGTGCATCCAGTTAATACTGAGACAGCAGAAACACAGGTTGAATCTTTACCCCGTGACATCGCAAAATCTACAGAAGATGGAAAGATGGAGTTGATTGTGGAGTGTCACAAGGAGAAAGGAGACAGTCTAGTCATGTTGAAGGATGAAATCAGTAGCCCTGTTACTGGAGTGATTGAGGTGGATGATAATGGTGGTAGTGTTAATGCTATCAAGGAATCCACACGGAAGTTGAAATTTCCTCAAAGAAGAGTTTCAGCAGTTCGTGAGTTCCCTCCTTATTGTGGCTTGAATGCAACTGAACCTACAAAAGAAGAACGCATAAGAATCAATGGAAAGAGAAGATTTGGAATTGAGGATAAGGGCGATGAAAGAAATGAAAGATTGACAGATTCTGTAGTGGTTGGTGGTGAAAAGTCCAATGGAAATGTCAAAGATGATTCTCTCCATAAAACTCAATCAAAAGAAAGCAATGAGTCTCTAATGGAAAATCAAGATCCAAAGGGAGATAAAAGTGATAAAAGATCAATGGAGAAAATGATAGTGGTTGATGAGGAATCAAACATAAATGTTCAAAAAGGGAAAGCCCCGAAGCTTAAAGATGATTTAGACAACAAATCACAAATCGCATCTCAAATCATAAAGAAAGTATGCCAGGATCTTGTGGTGTACACATGTGACAACGATCTGAACAAAAGATCTGTAATTGATTTATCTGATGAAGATTCAGAAGAAAATCTTGAAGATGAAAGCTTTCACAATTCTAAACCACAAGTAGTGATGCCAATCAGATCACTTGCACCAATTCAAGAAAACATCAAGAAAGTCAAAGGTGAAAGTAAGAGAGTCAGCCGTAAGAAACACCTTAAAGATGACACCAATACTCCGGTATTTATAAGAGGGGACAGGAGGGTCGTTATAGGCCTAATGGCTCCATCAGTTGTGCCCTTCATAACACCCAAGAAGTCAAAATCAGAAAAAGTCAAAGTTGCTGAGGAGTCAAGTGCTTTTACCACCTCTATAACACCCAAGTCAGAATCAGAAAAAGTCAAAGTTGTTGAGGAGGCAAGTACTCATACCACTTCCATAACACCCAAAAAGTCAAAATCGGAAAAAGTCAAAGTTGTTGAGGAGTCAAGTGCTCATACCACCTCCATAAAACCCAAAAAGTCAAAATTGGAAAAAGTCAAAGTTGTTGAGGAGTCCAGTACTTTTACCACCTCCATAACACCCAAGAAGTTAGAATTGGAAAAGGTCAAAGTTGTTGAGGAATCTAGTGCTCATACCACCTCCATAACACCCAAGAAGTCAAAATCAGAAAAAGTCAAAGTTGTTGAGGAGTCGAGTACTCATACCACCTCCATAACACCCATGAAATCAGAATCAGAAAAAGTCAAAGTTGTTGAGGAGTCAAGTGCTCATACCACCTCTATAACACCCAAGAAGTCAAAATCAAAAAAAGTCAAAGTTGTTGAGGAGTCAAGTGCTCATACCACCTCCACAACACCGAAGAAGTCAAAATCAAAAAAAGTCAAAGTTTCCAAAGAGTCAACTGCTTATACTGGTACACTTGATATTGTTGTGAGAACCGAAGAACCAATTGCTCAAGAAACGGAAGAGCAAGGAGACGAGTTTCCCAATTCCCATGAAGTTGAAGTTGCAGTCCCACCTTTTGGTCCTCGGAGTTCCAATTCCGCCCGGAATAGAATCAGGGAAACCCTTCGACGCTTCCAAGTTTTATGTCGCAAACTTCTACAAGGCGAAGAAGCAAAAATAAGTGAAGACGATGAATCAAAACACGTGTTGACCGGAAAACGAGTTGACCTCACAGCAAAATCATTCCTCCAAAAACAAGGCAAAATACCCGACCGAGGCGAAAAAACATACGGTTCCATTCCGGGGATAGAAGTCGGAGACGAATTCCAATACCGAGTTGAACTCGCCTTAGTTGGCCTCCATTGGCTTCTTCAAGGCGGCATAGATTACATCCGACACGGAAACACCAAAACCCCCGTGGCGGTTTCCGTCGTTGCTTCCGGCGGTTACGACAACGAAATCAACAAACCGGAATGCTTAATCTATTCCGGTTCCGGCGGAATCGGAAAAGACAAACAAATCTTAGACCAAAAGCTCGAAAGAGGCAACATCGCTTTGAAAAACAACATCAACCTCAAAATCCCCGTTCGTGTCATCCGAGGTTATAAAGGTAAATCCACCGAACCCTCATCAAAATCTCTAACAACCACTTACATATACGACGGTTTATACACCGTCGAAAAATACTGGCAAGAAAAGGGCCCACACGGGAACCTAGTATTCAAATTCGAATTAAAACGGATCCCGGGTCAACCCGAACTCGCGATCCGCGAAGTAAAATCCAAAAAATTCAAAACCCGCGAAGGCCTTTGTGTTGATGACATCACAAACGGAAAAGAAAAAATCCGTATTGCAGCGGTTAACACAATCAACGATGAAAAACCGCCGTCTTTCAACTACATTACGAAAATCATGTACCCGGATTGGTACCGCGACCGCCGCCCGGTGCCGCCCACGGGATGTGACTGTGTCGGGCGGTGCTCCGACAAACGGTGCAAATGTGCCGCCAAGAACGGCGGTGAGATTCCGTATAATCACAACGGTGCGATCGTGGAAGCGAAACCGTTGGTTTACGAATGTGGGCCCGCGTGTAAGTGCCCGCCTAGCTGTTACAATAGGGTGACACAACATGGGATGAAAATTCAGTTGGAGATTTTTAAAACGGAAACTCGCGGGTGGGGGGTTAGGTCGTTGAATTCGATTTCTTCCGGAAGTTTTATTTGTGAGTATGTAGGGGAGCTTCTAGAAGATACGGAAGCGGAAAAACGAACGGGTAATGATGAGTATTTGTTTGATATCGGGCAGAATTATAGTGATATGGGTACGGGTGTGGGTATGGGTACGGGTGTGGATACGGGTACGGATGGGTTTACGATTGATGCTGCGAATTATGGGAATGTGGGGAGGTTTATAAATCATAGTTGTTCGCCGAATTTGTATGCGCAAAATGTGTTGTATGATCAAGAGGATAAAAGGATGCCACATATTATGCTTTTTGCTGCGGAGAATATTCCACCCTTGCAGGAGTTGACTTATCATTATAATTATGCGGTGGATACTGTTCATGATTCGGATGGGAATATAAAGGTTAAGAAGTGTTTTTGTGGGTCGTCCGAGTGTACGGGGAGGTTGTATTGAGGTGAAAGTGGTAGGTTTTTTTTTTTTTTTTGTTATTTAGGTATTGTACTTTTGATGTGTGTTGCTACTATATGGGCTTTTACTAGCTTTTGCAATGCTAGATCTTATTAGTATATGTGATATGTCCATGTTGTGTTTGTGTATGTGTGTGTATGCATATATCAATGGGTATGTAGCCTAGTGGTATCAGGTGTGTTGGAAATAGTCTAGTTGAGGGTATATGATGGAAAAATGTGTAGCTTTACGAGTATGAATAGCATGTTTATGTATGTATGTATGCATATGCACATCTACATTAAATTACATATGTATGCATATACATTGATAAACATACAATAATGTGTAATTTTATCCAGTGTGATCATCATTCATTTTTGTAGGGATAAAGGTATATCAAATCACTTACATAGCAAAACAACTTTATCATGAAAAGAATTTCAAGAAACACATAGTTGAACTATCAAAAATATTTTGGACTTTCAAACTACCTTTCCCTATTACAAACCCATATGACCAATATTTAAATTTTTTTAAACCAATGATCTCAAAGTAGTTGTGCTTTCCTCAAATCCGAAAGCACTCCTCTATCTTCGCTCCCCCTTTCATTATAAATAACCTACAAAAACAACAACAAAAAGTAAATAAAACAATTTATAATTTGTTTTTTATGTAAAAAAAATCAATACCTTATCAATGATTCCATATTCAACAGCCTCACTAGGACTAAAATATTTTGGACGCCTTATATCCTCTTCGATCTGCTCTGTTGTCTTCCCTATATGCTTTGCATACAGTTTCACCTTCAATCACACCATCAAAACACACACACATTTAAAATATACACACTTAGGCGTTGACTAATTGGACAAAAGTCAAACCAAAATACCAATTCAGTCTTCACATTCTTTATTTCCTTTCTCATAATCTCAACATCAGTTGCTTGACCTTGAAATCTTGCAATTGGCTAACAAAACAACTAACCAACATCAATATTTTTTTTAACTTAATAGTAAAAATTTCAATAAAATGTTTAATAAAAAAAAAGAGAGATAACCTGTTTTATCATGATGGTTGATGAGGGCAATGCTGACCGATTTCCCTTTGCTCCAGCAGCCAATAGTAATGCAGCTTCTCCCCATGCATTCCCAACACATAGTGTAAAAATAGGTGGCTTCACATATCTGCAAAATGGATATTTGAAAAAATTAATCTTTATTGCATTTAAATGTTGATGATGTAATAAAGAACTACTGTAATGATATTTGTAAGTGTAATAGCATAAATTCATAAAGACTTGGTACCTCATAACATCATATATTGCAAAAGCTTCTGTTTCATACCCCAACTTTTTCACCACCCTGGAAAATGTAAAAGAAAATCAAAAGTAAGATCGTATTAAACATTTATTCATTCTTAGTGTCTGTTTGGTATGATGGAATGGAATGGATCATTACATTCCATTTTCATGTTTAGTTGGCTTGAAGGAATGGAATGAGTCATTCATAAGTGTTGTTTGTTGGGTATAATTAGAATCAAATACATAAATAATCTTGGATAATAAAGTGAATAATAATACCTTGGTAGTTCCAGTAGAGTTTATGTAAAGGTATATGGGCTTTTTGTCATCCTCGTATTGAAGGTAAAGAAATTCTGCCAATATGAGTTCAGTTACAGAGGGGACTAGAGACATACCCAAATACACAATTCTGTTCTTGTATAAATAAGATGCTAAATCTGGAGGTGGTTGTTCCCAAGCACTTCCCCTTGAGAAAGGAATCACCTGTCAAGATACAAATCAAATGAAATATACGTATGAATACATATACTGAATCAGTATCAAGCACCATAAGCAAGATATCCCATATTTTATAACAAGAAGAAGCAACTGAATAGGCTCACTATGCTCTAATACATCCAAGAATCAATAACACATGCAATGTTAGGTTAAAAAACTGCTTTTGATTTCATTGTTCTTGGAAAGATAGGAATAGAATGTACATGGCCTTCCAAACCCTAGGAATGTTAAAAGTACCAATATAGAGTTTGGGGGTGTTGTAAAGTAATTATGTTCGCATCGATTTTGAATCCAACAAGCAGTTTGTCAGGCTATAAATCCTTATGCTGGAATCGAGCTCATAGCTTGCGAGAAAAAAATTGAAAGGGGAAAATCAATTTCGGTTCTCTTCGGTTGATTTATTTCATTCGGTACTAATCTATTACCATGAAATTTTGAAAGGGTATCTTATATTCATCAAATATTTAACCTAATGAAAACATTAGATTGAAATTTAGAGGAGAGACGGAAACTTGGAAAATACCATGGTAACACCGAGTCGTTTTCCATGAGAGCTTAAAGACGGGTTGAGGGATGCAGGTCGGATCTTCTGACCGGAGAAGTCGCTGGAAATACTGCTGCCGACGAACGGGGAGGTAAAATTGGTGGATAAGGAAGCTTTAATAGACGAATTAGAAGATGATAAAGAAGCGGGTACAGTTCGATTACTTCGTGAATTGGTTTTTGAAACTATGCGTGCGCTGGGGAAGAAGTGGGAAGCCATTGTCGCTACCTCCATAACTGCTTTTGCAGCTCAGTTGAGAAAGGAGCAGAAAAATGGTTTGGAGATGAGGGAAGAGTTTTGGGGGAATAGGCTAAATTGTTTGGAGCAATTTGACCCGATCCATCTGGACTGAAGTCTAAATTTCGGGTCAAATAAATTGTTTGCATACGAACTATATATATGTTCTATATTAGTAAATCATTTATTTTAATTTTAAAAATGTGTATGTATCTATCAAATCCATAACAATATCGAATTAGATCATATTTAATACAAGTAAAAATAAAATATCTAATAAATCATTAAACTATATACCATGATTACTACATCAATCATATTTATAAAAAAAATCAAAAAATATCCCATATCTCGTGAATAAAATAATCTACTTGTAATTTCTACAATAATTATCATAAAATCTTTATAATATATTATTTAGAAAGTATATAAAAAATATGTTTATATTACTATGTATAATGTTTTAAAAACCAGTTTTTCAATCGAACCAGTCTAGTAGTCGCTTCCCGGTTCGACTACCGATTCAACCCGACTTCCATAATATATATATATATATATATATATATATATATATATAGAGAGAGAGAGAGAGAGAGAGCTAGGTTCAGGTATTTAAAGTAATTATTGTGTTATTGTATGCACCCATCAGATTTTAGATAAATCAAATCATTTAATAAATAATATAAGGGTATTATAGTAATCTTATTATTAGTTAATTATGTTAAAATAGTTATATAATTGGATATTAGTTGTATTCCTAGTAAATCGCAATTTATAACATTCAATCGACATCAAGATTCAAAACCCTAAATTGAAGCCAGTATCGTTTTTTCCTTCTTCACTTCTCAAATCCGATCGACACCTCCCAAAATCGCACCTCCTCTTCTTCGCGTCTCCTCCCTCCGGTCGACAGAAGCCAAATGATTGCAGCTCCCTTCTCTCTTCTCTAATCGATCGATGAAATTAACAGCTCCTTAATCTTGTTGATTGATCGGACGTAATTGTCTCCCTTTTCCTCCTCTATTTCTGATTCGAATAGCACCACACTCTTCTATTTTTTTATTGGCAGAATTGATGAATGCTGGTGGTTTGGTGGAGGTTAATGGACTTATAAGGTTGGGTGTTTGGTGATGGTGGTGGCTGGAAAGTGGTATAAGGTGGTCCTGAGTGGTTCGGTGGTGGCAGTTTTCACGAGACAAGGGGGATGAATAAGGGTGGTTTCAATTGGTTGCTGTGATTTGGGTTCTCACAGGTGGCTTTTTAAGGTAGATTCGTTGGTGATGAAGGTGGGATAAAGGAGGGAGAAGGGTGATGTTTTTTTGGGAGTTTGAAGGCTGTTAACGGTGATGGGTAAGAAATCTGTAAAGTACAAAGTGAAGGTAGTTTGTCACTATTTCATATCAAATTTACTTCTTCTTATATGATAAAAATCAATTTGTTTCTGTAGAGGATTCAATGGATGATATTGGTGCCATTCCAATTCTTTTGGAATGGAATCATGAATTCCAATTCTGTTGGAATGGAATCAAGAATTCTAATTCTGTTGGAATGGAGTATGAATATTTTCTCACTGATTTATGCATGTTCTACAATTATTGGTTATTGGTTTTGGTGCAATTCACAAGTCCACATATTTTTCCAAAGAAATTTAGTTTTTTATTTTTCATTTGCTAATGCATTATTGGAATCTAAACTACAATTTGGTTTTGTTTTCACAGAAGTTGATGCTTGAAGAACGGACCACAAAATTGAAAGTGATTCTAAGCAACATTATTCTTTTAGAATGTATTAGTGTTGTTGTTAGATTTTGATGTTTTCTTTCCCGTTTTGAAAGTTTTTTATTCTTTAATAATAAATGTAATTCTTAACAATTGTTACCTGTATTCTATAAGAAATAATGTATTTTTCGTTTTTATTCTTCAATTGATTGTTCAAGAATCTGTTGTTCTACAAAAAGTTTTTAAAGTCATGATCAAGAAATAGGTTCAAGAATATTTGTATATTTATAGTTCAAGAATATTTTTATTTTTGAATATACTCATAAACATATTCTGTCAGAATCTCCGAATTAAAAGAATTATAATTCGTAAAATCGGGTTTTTAAAATTAATAGAATCTATGATCCCTTAAAATATGCAATTTTCCTTTATTAAATGTGTATTAATTGACTAAAATAACCTTGTAAGTAAATTAGATGATATTTTTCAATTATATTTAATTCAATAATATGTATTAATCACTTTCTTAAAATAAGTAAAATTCATTGGCCCACATTTATGCATACAATAACATAATAATTACTTTGAATAGAATAACCTAAGCCGAGAGAGAGATAGGTTCAAATGTTTTTTACAATTATTGTGTGCATGTATGCACCAATCACAAATTAGCAAAATATTAAATCATTTTTTAAATCAATAAGGGTAATTTGGTAAATGGCTTATAAAATCAATTAATTGAATTTAATATACAATCCTATAAACTTGGTAACTTTGTTTGATTTTGAACCTATATTTATGTTAATATATTTATTCAAATCTACGTCTTTGATTTCCATTTAAATTTGTGAAATCAGTTTTAAAACCTATAAACCATTGACGCCTTTCAGTATCTCGCCGCTGCCTCTTATTCCTCCTCCCCCTCTACTGTCGGCTCGATCAACCATCGACGTGGGTCTGTTAACGTTTATCGGACAAAAAAATAGAAGAAGAAGGTTCATCAGTAAGATTGGTTCGCTGCCCTAAATGTGAAAATCTTCTTCCTGAGCTTCCTGAGTACTCTGTTTACCAGTGTCGAGGCTGTGATGCTGTTCTTCGAGGTAATTTTGCAATCATATACCCCCATTCATATAAATTAAATTACTTTATCTTCATGTTTTGTAACGTGCTTATATATGAATTTTGACTTTTGATGGTCAAATCATTAGCTTTCTAAGTTTTAACTACAAAATATGTAAGAACTGTGTCGATTATTGAAAGAAACTTGTTAGTTACATTAATTTTATAGAAACGGATTCATATATTGCTATTACAGTTATATGAAACAAATTAATTTGGAATGCGAATTACAGAAAAACAATTGAAAGCCTCATAATTAAAGTTATATGATGGTATGTGTATTATAGAACAACGATTGAAATCATAGTAATTAAATATGAGTATTAAAGTATTGTTATATTCTTGATTTAATGATTGTTTTGTTCCTTTATCTATTAATGTAAATATTGTTGCTTATGGTATTGTTGATATTGCTATGTTTTGGATGATGATTCAAATAATACTTTTTGAAGATACCATCACTATGTCTACTTTTGATTCTTTAATTCTATATTACATTCTTTAATTATGTTATAGTCTTTGTTGATACACACCTAGCACCCACATTATTATTCTACCTTCATTAATTGTTTTAGATGAATTTTGGCTTGTTTGATGATAATGTCTAACAAGTGTTTGTTGAAATGTCTGAAAGAGAATCTAAAGAATTCAACCTTGTGGTATGCATTCTGTCAGAATTATTAGCAACATATGTTTTATGTAATTGTTTAAAAAGGTAATTAATTTGGAATCTAAAATTATATTAGCAGTAAATACGATACTTTTGAATGTATTGTATGTATTCTGTTAGAATGTATTCTGCCAGAATAAAATTTATGTATTCTGCCATATTCTATGTATTCTGTCATATTCTATGTATTCTACCAGAATATATAAAGTGTTAGTTAATTGCAAGTAACATGTTCTTAACCATTATTAGTTTTTGTTGTATTTTTGATAAGAATGTCTGGAAGAATGCGTTGAAGACCTAATAGGAATAACTTGAAGAATGAATAAAGTTTGATCATACTCACAATTTAAGAATGTTGTTATTTTTTAAGAATTTTATTCATTTTTGTTGATATTCTATTAGAATATATGTATAATTATATTAAAATGTATAAGTTCGGATGTATGAATTTGTATTTAAGTTCGGATGTATAATAATATATTAGAATGTTGTTATTTTTCAACCTCGGATTCAAGAATTTTGTTATTCTTCAATAATATTCTAATAGGATAAAATTCAGAAAGAACATCATTCTAACAAAAAAATACTCTGACAGAATAAAATCGGTTATGTTTACAAATTACGTTAGAATTGAAATTGCATTAATTAAAAAAAATCAGATTTTTTAAAATTAGGAGAATTAATTATCCCTAAAAATCCGAAAATTTCCTTTTATAAATGTAGTTAATTATCCAAAATACCATTTTTCTAAAATTTGTGTGATTATATGGTATATGTTAACCCATTGTAATATCATACACTCTCAAATCATGCCCATTGATTAATTTCATCCGTTGGTCCAGATCTGTGCATTCTGGCACGCAATAGTTAGTAAAAACAAAATAATCTAACCCTATATATATATATATATATATATATATATATAGAGAGAGAGAGAGAGAGAGTTAGGATCATATATAACCAATAAATATTGTGTGAATGTGTGACAAATTATAGTCCAATCAATATAGAGTGTTAATTTTAGCATTTTACATATGATATACTTATTTGCTATTAATTAAATATGCTATATATTTGGAATGAGTAAAATTTCCTTTTCAATATGTCAATCGTTTCCAAATTTTCATGATGGGATTCGTTATAATGACTGTAAAATAAATGCAAAGTCATTGTAATTTCTTTTTTATGAATCGCAAATTGCAATTTGTGTCCAGAAAGTTTTTATCACTAAATAGTTTTTGCAATTATAATAGTGTCTGACGATTGGTTATTTTGAAAAAAAATGGATATAAGGTAATTTCTTTTGTTTGGTTAAATTTAATGTAAATGTTTGTTGATTGTTTTTTATTTCATAAGAATTTATCAATAAATTATGGAATTATGGTTTTGATTTTGATGCATCGTGTTGTACGATAGCCATATTCTTAAATAGTGTCGTTTTGTATCTATTTAGTTTGAATTGGTTCTATGAATATTCTTAAAGAATTTGCAAATGTAATATTTTAAACCATTCCAAAATGAAAAAGTATATAGTTTATACTCAA